TGTTCTAACCGAGTCACCTGGCCAGAGCTTTGCCAACTTTTTATATCACCAAGTAAGTGCCTCTGCGATGTAATATATAATTAACAGGATCATTTTATTTTTTTAAATGTTGGAAGGTTATGGTCTCAATAAAAACAAGTTTTTGAACTGAATAATTTAGCTTTAGGAAAAACCCACTTATCCTATTTTCCTCATTTCTTTGTAACATTTTGCATACATCACAGTGAACTGCTAGACACATTCCCAGTAAAAGAAGGAACCAGCATACACTACTGGTATCTAAACTGAATAACACACTAAGAATATAAATCAGAACTGGAGATATTTTTAGGAGGAAGAAAAATGATCAATAGTTTTCTGTAAAATGACTATCTAACTCAGGGGTGGGCAAACTTTTTGACTCGAGGGCCACAATGGGTTCTTAAACTGGACCGGAGGGCCGGAACAAAAGCATGGATGGAGTGTTTGTGTGAACTAATATAAATTCAAAGTAAACATCATTACATAAAAGGGTACGGTCTTTTTTTTTTTTAGTTTTATTCATTTCAAACGGGCCGGATCTGGCCCACGGGCCGTAGTTTGCCCACGGCTGATCTAACTAGAAACACCTAAATAAGCAATTATAACATTATTAGAATTACAAGCATTCACAAAAGTGACCAGATATAAAATAAATACACATCATCGCCAAAACCGGTTTGGCTCAGTGGATAGAGCGTCGGCCTGCGGACTGAAAGGTCCCAGGTTCAATTCCGGTCAAGGGCATGTACCTGGGTTGCGGGCACATCCCCAGTAGGAGATGTGCAGGAGGCAGCAGCTGATCGATGTTTCTCGCTCACCGATGTTTCTAACTCACACATCATAGAAATAGAACTTGTAACTCTTTCAGTCATCAACAGAAATTTATCCTATATGATAAAAGGCTAATATGCAAATTGACTGAACAGCAGAACGACCGGTCACTATGACATGCACTGACCACCAGAGGGAAGACGCTCAATGCAGGAGCTGCCCCCTGGTGGTCAGTGTGCTCCCACAGGGGGAGTGCCGCTCAGCCAGAAGCCGGGCTCATGGCTGGCAAGTGCAGCAGTGGTGGCAGGAGCCTCTCCCATCTCCATGGCAACACTGAGGATGTCCGACTGCTGGCTTAGGCCCTCTCCCCATGGGGAGAGGGCCTAAGCTGTCAGTTGGACATCCCCCGAGGGCTCCTGGACTGAGAGAGGGCGCAGGCTGGGTTGAGGGCCCCCCACTGAGTGCTCAAATTTCATGCACTGGGCCTCTAGTATCTCTATAATTTCCCTTTAAGGAAACAAATTATGGTTGTTAGTCCTAATAGGCCAAGTCAAATACTATAATTACTTTAATTACCCTTTCTTGAGGAAAGAAATTGCTTTAAATGTTTTAAATTGTTTATGTTCTAATAAACCCTTCTTGTGTCTGCTTGCAAACTTTGTCAATTTTTCTTTCCAGAGGCAAAAAATAGTCAGGCTTATCTAGCAATAGATAGTGACCAATAAAAAGGGAAGCCAGGGTTAGTTTAACCTGTCAAAGACATGAGCAATGGAAGTGGGTGGGTAGCCCAGTGGATCACAAGACTTCTTGTAGAAACAACACTTTCCCAAGGGTAGGAAGGCCCAGGTTTAGGCCTGGCCTTCCACTAACAGCTGTGTTCCTCAGGCAGGTCACTTAACTTTCTCAGCACAGAATTACTAGGGAGTCTGAAGTGACCAGATGCACCTTATCCTGGGGCCCGATGGTGCAGCTTGGTGGCCTACTTCACCTTAAAAGTTGAAGTGGAGCCCAGCTGGTGTAGTTCAGTGGCTGAGCATCGACCCATGAACCAAGAGGTCACTGGTTTTCAATTCCCAGTTAGGGCACATGCCTAAGCTCCCAGCTCGATCCCCGGCAGGGGGCATGTAGGAGGCAGCCCATTGATATTTCTCTCTCATTGATGTTTTTAGCTCTCTATCCCTCTCCCTTCCTCTCTCTCTAAAAATCAATAAAAACATAAAAAATTTGAAGTGGATTTTGCATGCTACCTTCTTCCTGACATAACATTTTTAAAAATTTGGGAATATTTTAAACTAATTACTGTTAACTATAAATGTCTCCCTGGGAATGGAAATCCAGTTTAAACCTCGGATTCATATCCTGCTCCCCCCGCCCCCACTGATGGACCCTCCTGTGAAGCTCCCAGGACACAGAAGTGAAGAGGTTATGACCATTTCCACAAGCACATGCTCAAGAACTCACTCCTTCTCAACCTTCTTTTAGCTAACAGGATGTTCTGATGCTGAGCCAAGCTAAGAAAAGAGGAGGCAGTGTGAATACAAGGGCCCATCAGGCTGCTGGTTATAGAATCAAGAACACCGGGTGCTGGAAGGCCATCCCAGGAATGCTCAACAAGGGGGCACATTTCTCTGTGTTCCAAGCTACAGGTGCCAGAACAGAATTTCCTTCCTGCCTCTATCTCAGTTTCAAACCCAGGCTACTTTAAACTGTCCCCAACTCCCCTTCTTGTTTCCCAGGTAATAATAGCAGCCTTCCCCCAAGACCAGCTTTTCATTTTTGTCTGCTTGGTTCAGCGGTAGATTCCCTAGCACACAGTAGGACCTCCATGCATGTTTATTTAATGAGTGAATGCATTCCAGTGAGGTGCCTGATCATAAAGGGACAAGTATATCATGAGACATTTCAGACGGGGCCCAAAGTAACCACGAAAGGAAGGAAATCACCTGTGTGGCCATTTGACCACACCCTGACTGTGGTCTGAATGTGGCACAAGCTTCTGAAAAGCAATCAAGAAGGTGCCTGCCACAGGGGTGGAAAGGATGTTCAGGTACAGCTCTGAGTCCTCCCATATTTATTTCTACTCACTTGATATGCACCTCTCCCTTGTCAACCTGGTACCACATGTTTATTTAAGAGATAATGTTGCCGTGGAGGAGTGCATAAGGCAATAAACAGCTTTTGCAGGCAATTAAATGTAGAAGTGAAATTGAGCCGCTGGTCGGGGGAACCAGCTATTCATCGTGAGTTTGTACCAGTGTCACAAATGTTATTCCTGTTTCCCAACAGGACAGGAATCTATGATTGGGCCACAAATCTCCACAGGCTGGAAACAGACCTAAAGCCATTAAAGCAGCTTTCCGAGTGCAGGCACAAACAAGAAAGAGCCTTGGGATTCTGACCCAGCAGACTGTTCTAGCAAGGGTACAAGGACTTGTCCTCAGGGGAATCTTGCCTCGCACAGTGGCTGAGACAGTCCTCCAAGTCCAGGCAACACTGCCATGCAAGAGAGCCCCATCTTCTAGCTATCCCTAAGACAGCACCTTTGTAAGGGATCACCAAGGAAGTCCAAGACCTCTGCCATACCCTTCCCAGGTTTTCCAGGTGGAGTAAGAATAAACATTAGTGTGTCAGGCATCATATGCCTGAAAGACTGCCAAAGTAGAGGGTAAATTAATTTAGGAGATTTCTGACTCTTCTGTAAAGCTGACCATGAGCTGTCTCTCTTTAAGAAAACACCTAAGATTTTTCTTTCTCATCCTTTTTCTCTTAAGCCAGCAGGTTGAGACCCTCCATACTTTATCCTTAAAGCCTGGAAGCAGCCAGAAAACCAGGAAACTCTTCTGGGGAATCTGCAGGATAAACTGTTTTGTTTTTGTAACTACAAGAGAAGTCTTTCTCCTTTCAGGGTGGAGAGTCTTTAGTAGAAATCAACCTAGAACCTGCCTCAAATCATAAAATCCAAATGGCACTTTGAAAGGCCTGTAGGGGCCCAGCTTAAAGATCCATAAATCACTGCTTTTCCTTTGATACTCATACTACCCCTCAATTTTAACACCAATGTTCTAAGTTCCCTTTCTAAAAAGTATGATTCTAAAAATAAAATGTATGAAAATGGGTAGCCCAGGGTATTAAAGCTGACATATTAATATGCCAAAAAGTCAGATCCCTAGGAATAGTGAGAGAAACCAAAAAGTGGGGTGACTTGAATATTAACAATTTCCCAACACCTAAAAAAAGAAAAATAGAATAGAATAGAGTTGCTCAAAAAAATTCAATGCACATTTTTATAAAGTTGACATAGAAGGTAAAGATTTGCCCTAAACACCTAAATGTGTAAATTGCATTGTCTTGGAATCCATGCCCAGCTGAGAAAATTTACATACAGTAAATGCATTCAAAACGAGAACATTTATCACAGAATCATAACAGCTTACGGCTAGAGGGGGCTGGGAGGTGTTGAGTCCAAGAGCTCATGTCTATACACATTCCCACCATGTGGTAATCCCACCTGAAAATGCTTTCAGTGCCTTGAAACTGTTTCTAATATAGTGGCACGATGGAATGGTCAAAACGGAGGGAAAAGAACAGCTCTGATAAACGCTCCTTCCCTGATCATGAAAACGCTTTGTTTTCCCCCAAATATTAAAAAACTCTTAATTGCACACTATTTTTAAATTGCACACTGTTTTAAATATTTCAGAGTATGAAAGACTGGCCTCTATTCCCAGCTAAAAACAAACCCACATTGGCCCAGCACAGCAGTGACCTAATTCCTCTTCTTACCTTTCTTCCATTCGAACATACATACAGATTTGGACACGCCTCACTCCCAGGGTAAAGTTCATCAGGAAGAGTACTGCCATCCAGAAGACGCACCCAACATTTCCTATGCTGCTCAAAGAAAACGGGGGCAAGGCAGGGGGAGGTGGGGCATAATATAGTAAGCTACTTTTGAATCTGACTATGGCCAACTGGGTATTTATGCAAAATGACATTAGAAAATGAGAAAATGAAGACACAAATATATGCATATTTCTTTACAGTTCCTTGCAGACAATGTCTGAGGTTAAATAATCTGATGTGCAGAGAGGAAAATTCTTTACATCTTTCGTATAATGTGTCTATACCTATGAGAAGTGTTGGCCATGTGTGTGTCTGTGTGTGTGGGGTTTTCACGTATCCAGTTCACTCTCTGGGTAACATCTTACCTGCCACTGGTTTCCTGCCTGACCAGGCACATAAGGAGCTGGGAGGCTGCGAAGGCTGTTCTTCACCGGGGATCCCCCAAGAGGGTTTCCCATGTCCCCAGAAGGGGAATCAGCAGTCAAGGCCACGGGGTACTGCGGATAGTTGTACAGATTGTTGTAGTACGGAAACAGAGATGGCTGATAAAAGCTGCTGTAGTAGGTGGAGTCTGAAACCAGGTCAGGTGCGTTCTCCACGTGCCCTCTGCTGGTGACAGCAGGAATATCCTGGATGACCATACGCCCGTCTAGAAAGAAAAAAAAGAAAAAAGCAAAAAGCAACATGGTATTAATCTGGAAGTTCACAAAACTTGACCTCTAAAGCTTGGCAATGCATAGCCATCCTCCTCAGATCTCAGAGCTGCAGAAAAAGGCACCTGAACAGGCAGCCAAAATAAAGGAGGGTTCTCAGGGTTGACATAATTCTGGTGGCGCGGATGACAGATTCTTGCAGATTTCTTTTACTAAGAATACAAAACACATTTTAAGGGTCATTTTAATTAGATAAAGCCTGACCAGTAACTTTTTATCCTAATGTCAAAAAATTAGAGATAAAATCTAGTTAACTCGGCCGTCTACAACATTATTACAAAAGTAATTATACTTCATTTTAAACAAGGTAATAAAAAAAATCCCAGTGCCCTAACTATGGTGGCCACATAGATATGTCAAAAAGTCAAAGCAAAAAGTTAAAAGTTTAAGCAAACATTGTTTCCTTCACTTCCTTCCACAGCTGATACCCTATCCTTCAGCAGTCTGGACAATGATTTAGACCAGGAATAGACAAACTTCTTCTGTAAAAAGGTCAGTTAGTAACTATTTCAAGCTTTGTGGGCATTCAGTTGCAGAACAGACAGGTTGCTGCAATAAAACTTTATTCTCAAACAGATAGTGGGCCCATGGGCTATAGTTTGCCAGTCATGGGTCTACACTTTATACTGTCAATTCCAATAAACAACTAAAGGGGCTCCTATGTTCAAAGAGTTGGTCCAGATGCCTGAAAAGGCTGCAAGGTGTCAGGATGCTCCTACCCAACAGGAGTCTGCAATCTAGAAGGAAATATATGTTGGGGTTAAAATAACAACAAGGATTATCATATAATAACACCCACAAACTTTCACAAAAATTCAAAGGCTATAACAATGACTTGCAGCCTAGAAAGGAATTACAGAGAAATCCTCAGGAAAAAACTGCATCTGAAGGGTATTTTGCTAAGTTACATAAGTCCAACAGAGAAAGACAAATACTTATATGTGTAATTGGATGAACAAAACAAGCAATCAAAATAGAAACAGACTCATAGATACAGAGAACAGACTGACAGCTATCAGAGGGGAGAAGGGTTAGGGCTGGGTGAAAAATGTGAAGGGATTAATCAGCACAAATTGGTAGTTATAGAAAAGCCACAGAGATGTAAATTACAGCATAGGGAATGCCGTCAATAATCGAGATAAATATGTATGGGGCCAGGTGGGTGCTTGAAGCAGCGGGAAGACCACTCTGTAAAGTACATGATTTTCTAACCACTTTGCTATACATCTGAAACTAATAAAGAATAATACTGAATGTAAACTGTAACTAAAAAAATAAAATTTTAAATTTTTAAATGGGGGAAAAAAAGAAAAACTGCATCTGAGTTGCACTTTAAAAGAGAAGCAGAAAACAGGCTTTAAAAAATGAGAAAAGGGCTGGGCTCCTATGTTCAAAGAGTTGGTCCAGATGCCTGAAAAGGCTGCAAGGTGTCAGGATGCGTCTACCCAATAGGAGTCTGCAGTCTAAGAGGAAATATGAAGGGATTAAGCAGCACAAATTGGTAGTTATAGAAAAGCCACAGAGATGGACTGACAGCTATCAGAGGGGAGAAGGGTTAGGGCTGGGTGAAAAATGTGAAGGGATTAATCAGCACAAATTGGTAGTTATAGAAAAGCCACAGAGATGTAAATTACAGCATAGGGAATGCCGTCAATAATCGAGATAAATATGTATGGGGCCAGGTGGGTGCTTGAAGCAGCGGGAAGACCACTCTGTAAAGTACATGATTTTCTAACCACTTTGCTATACATCTGAAACTAATAAAGAATAATACTGAATGTAAACTGTAACTAAAAAAATAAAATTTTAAATTTTTAAATGGGGGAAAAAAAGAAAAACTGCATCTGAGTTGCACTTTAAAAGAGAAGCAGAAAACAGGCTTTAAAAAATGAGAAAAGGGCTGTAGGGACAAAGAAAAGGAAGCAGGAAAGTGGAAGGCAAATTTGGGGTTGATGAACAGGGGGTGAAGAACTCAGTGCAAAAGGGAAAGAGAAGTCCAGTCTGACGGTGGACTGGTGCAAGGTGAGGGAAAGCCTCCGTCCAATTTTCTGGCAGGCCTTTCATCATGGTGTGGCAGGAACCACTGAGGATTTCTGAGCAAGGAGTGGAGAGGGAGAGAGCGAGAGCTGTGCTTGGGGCTGATTTATCTGATGGCAATTTGTAAGGCAAGGGAAGGGAAGGGAAACCAGAGGCTGGAGAGCCACTAGGGAGCCACTGCAGGCGTCAGGGAGAGACCTAGAAGACTCAAATATAAGAGAGGGGACCTGGGCCAGAAACATGAAGGAGACAAAACGCAATAAAACGGGAGGACAGATGGGACATCAGAAATTACGTTGCAGGATAAGGCAAAGAAATGCAAAGCAGATGTCAGAGGAGAGGGAGGTGGCAAGTTCTGCTTAATCAAGGTGCCAGAGGGGTACACAAGTGGGAGCAATGGGCGAGAGTGAGGACTTGACACCTGCACTCATGGGAGAGGCTGAGGTTCAGGAGTCACCACTGGGCCATGCTGGCTGCCTCTGGGAGAGCAGGAGGGAGCTGTTACAGAAAAGCATGTTCTGAGGGGAGAGTCAAGGCTGAAGTCAGGGAGAACTGAGGAGAAACGCAATGTCACAGAGGCCAAAGTTGACATGGGTTGTGGAGGAAGAAGGCTGACCTGTCCGCTGCTGCTAAGAGTTCAAGCAAAACTAGTTCTGGAAAAGACCAACAGAGGGTTAGGTTTTTAGCGTAGAAGGAGCAAGAGGGCGGGGAGCAAGTGAGCAATGAAGAAACGGAGCGATGGTGCTTCTGTCTCACCAGAATGGAAGATGCAGCAAGAGGCACCATGCCTGTTAGCTCATCTGTGCACCCCTGTGCCTAGCACACTGCCGGCCACAAGGTGGTAAATAGTTGCAAAAGGGATCAATAAATAATGATTTTTCAAGTAGCCTAATGTCAAAATAAATGTGATTTTAAAAAGTAGAAGCTCCAGAGAGTAATAAGATGTTGTTCATTTTTAATATATAGAGGTTTGGGATATGTAGGCAGGTAGAAGAAGCTAATGGAAAGAAATTCTCAGGACAATCAGTGCACGGCCATCTCTCCAACCTCCGCTATAGCAAATTCCCAAAACAGTAACTAGAGGCATCTCTTCCACATCGGATGTCATCAAAGCTGGTAAGTGAGGCTAAGTGTCACTATTAATTTGAGATAAATCAGAAAGTAAGATTTCCAACTCATAAGCTACAAAATACATAAACTAACCATACAAAATTTGAAATATGTATATCATCAGAAAGTGGTTTTCCACATACAAACTCCTTTTTTTTTTCTTTTAGTACATGCCCAACCTGGGATAGAACCCAAACCTAGGTATGTGCCTTGACTGGGAATTGAATCCACAACCTTTTAGTGTACAGAATGATGCTCCAACCAGAGCAACCAGGCTAGGGCTCATGTACAAACTCTTAATAGCCTATTAACCATTTTCTGAATCACAGAAAAAAACACAGTAAAAACTCACAGCTAGTTCTATAAACCTGTGCTGAATCACCATCCATACCAGGCCCCTCACTGTGACCAGTTTCTCTTGCCCAACGCCATGCCCAATGCACACTGTGACAGGGATATTTTACCTGCACAGCCAGTATGACTAAGTATAAAGACCACAGCAAACACCTGGTTGGCTCAGTGGATAGAGTGTTGGCCCTAAGACTGAAGGGTTCCAGGTTCCGTTACAGGCTCCATCCCCGGCCCACTAGGGTGTGTGCAGGGAGGCAACCAATTGTGTCATGTTTCTCTCTCTCTGTCTCTCCCCCTTCCTTCCACTCTCTCTAAAAATCAATGGAAATATATCTGCAGATGAGGATTAACAAAAAAATATTCTTTTTCAAAAATTGTAGTGGATATACTGGTACAATATTATATTAGTTTCAGGTGTATAACATAGTGATTAGACATTTATATACCTTACAATGTGATCACCACAATAAGTCTAATAACTATCTGTCACTGTACAAAGTTAATACAATATTACTGACTATAACCTGAATCTCACTCTTTATTTTTCTAACATAAAAACTGGCCAAGGTTAGCACTTAACAGTATTAATAATCATAGGAAGCACAAAGCACTGTTCCCGAGAGAATGTAGTAGCTCTCTTAACCAGTGGTCCCTTGCAGGAATTATCAACACCTGCCAGGATGCCAATGAAAGCATGAAGTTAGAAGTTTTAAGTGTTGCTATATATTCCGTGTAGTCCTAATGGGTGCTATCTGGAACAAAGATGGGTGGGACTGGATCCCACAGCTGGGAAAGGAACTGGAGAAGCATGTACCTACAGCATCTGCAGTAGAGACATTTGCAGAGATGACGCTTGCAGACTCAATCCCATCTCATTCCAATGCTCATAGTTGTGGTTCCGTACATTTACCTTCCATTCCATAGTTCAGTACTTTGGTAAGGCTTCCCAATTGCTCTGCTACTTTTTTTGTGCTAACGTATGCAGCGTGAAATATGACTCACTCCTTCATGAGAGATCAATATACCCAACACATGATAAATACCCTTATTGATCTTGCAGTGTTATATGCTGGTCTCTGGGCCCATGGCATATTAATAGTAGTTAACCAGTAATTCATTTTAAGGTATGTGAAGGCTTTCCCCCCCACTTTTCTGTAGTGTCAAGATTCCTGGAGTTGTTGCACTTTGAGTCCTTTATGTTCAAACCTGGAGCCATACTCTCCCCCTTTCAATAACAACACCAAACCCCATAGTTTCTAGTATGAAAGATTACATATCAAACCAAAATTGACAATTTACAATGATAACACTATTTGTTATTCACAATGATCTCTTGTAAACAATTAATTTATGTATACCACGTCTTATTTGTCTTTGTAATCCATACTCTCGCATGGTGCCTTCCCACTTAGCTTCCAGTTTTAAGAGTCACCAATCAAGGAAAAATTGTTCCCCACTAAATCTGAGATGTCAGAATCATCTGCCATCAATGAACATGTGCTGAATGCTAGGAGGGCACAGAAAAAGTGCAAGTCATCTTCCCGACTCTTTTTTTACTCAAAGAAAAAGGTCTTGAGAAAAAGACTGTATCATTTGATGATGGCATGTCACAGACTTCCGAGGATGGCAGTAGGGTGCACCCGCACTGAAACGAGAGAGCTCCATTTCCTCCGCTCCCCGCTGTCAGCATTCTCCTCTGCAGGGCAACCCTGCGTCCAGATGAGTCAGCTCCTGGCCTCTCCTAGACTTGGAGACACTGAGAAATGCAGTGTGAGGCGTCAGGACTCCTCCCTACGAGACAGAGCCTAGAGGGAGACACATGGGGGGAAAGCTGTTGCATGAGCTGACACCTGGGCCCTCTCAGCCCCCACAAACCTAAGAAGGAAAGCTTGCCATCCTGACCCAGGAAACGGATTGCTTTTCTGAACTAAAGCAGAGCCATTACAGAGAGAGGCCTGGTAGCGAGGCAGCAGTGTGCCTACTATTCACACCCCCAACTGGTGACTGTGATGACATCGCCACACCTGTCACCGCTCCCTGCCGGAGAAACATTTCATGTTCAACGCAATAAATTTACTGAGCACCTACTGCGTGCAAGACAACCTGTCCAGCACCTTGGACGCTGCAGAGCTTAGCTGTAAAGGCAGATTCTGGAACAAACACACAGAAGGAAAGACTGACCAAGGCTATGGGGAAACATAAAACTGTGTGGAAGGGAGGGCAGGATTAACTCCAACCTTCCAAGTGCAAGTTCTGCTGATGCTGGCTCACTAACGACACTCCTGTGCACAGGAAAGGAATATGTGAGAACCTATTTCTCCTTTTTCCCAATACATTTTTAAAAATGTAATTTGGTCCCAGAGGAATCTGTCAGGTTCACTTTTCTTTTTACGCTTTTCATAAAAAAAAAACAAAACCTGAAGTTGGTTGGCCTTTCAAGCCAGAACAGGCTTGGTTCAAAGGTGTGGGAAATGTCAATGTGGGAAGCAAAGGGAT